GAACAGTTGTAATTATTACCGCTTACTTGTTACATCGAGAAAACAATTCAATCAGTGTTTGTTAAGCTTTTGTGGAATTTTTCCTCGAAACTGAGTCAACGCGTTTCAGCTAAGGATTCGATAAAATGTTCGCTGCTCGTGTAATTATATACATATGGAAACTTCGTGTATTATGTGCCCTTCTCCGCTTAAGTTGCCATTTTTAGAGTGCTGTCACTTTTTGAGTAATTTGTTCTTACTATGGGCTAGGTACATTAAGGTACAACTAGAGATTCTTGATAACGCCGCCCAGCCAAAGAATCCCTAAGATGACAACCACACAGGTACCTCTATAGTTTTTATGGAACAGACACGTTTTATGGACGGACACGAAAGCCTAAACTGAGCTCCGAAGAAGATGTAAAATATCCTTTTTAACCTGATGGCTGAGCCTTGAGATCAGCAAATAAATCCTAGCTTGTTTTCGGGATTTTGAGGAGAAAATCAAAATGAATACAGGGAAAATGTGGTGCAAATACTTTCTTTTCTAATTAGTTTGTTTGAGGTCTTGGCGCCTTCAATAATTTTTCAGTACACTTCAGAACACTGCCGCTAAACATTTCAAGGGTTTTTCAGGAAAGCCATGCTAAATATCTCAAAAAGTCTATTATTTGTTGTATGCAAATTTGCGATTCGCTCATTTTCATTATACAATTTAGTTTAAGCAGATGTGGATCGTTTCACTAGCGCAATTGAAAGGTGACCCGCGGACCACTCGTTGCATCATTATATAATGCCCAGTTGGGTTCTTTGAAGTCACCCATTACTATCAGGAACAGGTTTGTGAGAAGGAGCTGTGAGGCACTCGGGGCTGTTCAATAAGTTTGGTCGCAAAATAGATCAATAATGTGTATCTTAAGCTGGATATCTAAAGCATTTTAATGGCCATGTGCCTTACAGTGATGTTAGTGGTTGTTGTTTTTATTTCGGAATCATTCATGATTGCGGTTCGGTATCTCTGGTCCCGATAGATATATGTACCACTCGAAATTGTGCAGTGAGCAAATATAGCCATTATGATTCCCCGCTACTGGCTGATAGGACTCAGAATACATAGATTTCTGGTTACGCCTTTCAACTAGATCTGATGTGAGCAGCGAACAGGCTGATTGGATGTGAGACGGCATAATTACGCAAATTCCTCCAGAAACTCTTCACAAGAAGCAACTGTCTGTAAAATATTTTTTACTCACCCGTCTTCCAGAAGATTGCCCTCCAATATTCGGAAACTGATCGGGAATAAAAGATCCAGACCTACGCTGTGAGCTGGATCGCGAGGATGGTGCTGATATAAAAGGACCCTCGCAGACTCTAGCTGTGAGCAGAGTATTTTCGGAATTTAGGAAGGAATCTGTGTTGTCTGTCTTTGGTGTGCACCCAACTCTGCTACTAAATGATGCTGCACTGCCTCGGCGCGATTCCGTGGGTGGGGATGGAGCGATCTCCACCTGAGGAAGCTCTCCGGCTCCGGTGTTCGTAGGCCTGTCAGCACCATAGCTATGTCTTCTCAGGTTTGACACACTAGGCAGCTTTATGCCCAAGAACGATGTACCTGTTAATCTTGATTTTTCTGCTGACGGCCGACGTGAGGCTGGGATCTGGGTGCTACTGTCATCCATCGGAAGCTGGTATGAAAGGTAAAAGCAGATTGTCTACATAACCACCAGTAAAGACATAGGAAAGGAAAAAAATAAACTGCAAAACTGCTGGTTTCCTCATGAGTTTCCAAAAACTGTATCCCCGAAGGCTCTTGAAGGTAGTCAAGTATGGGAACAAAGCATCATGACTGTGAACGCTCTATGATCTTAAAGACCATTTCGTTTTTTATCACAAAACATACACTGAGAATATAACGGACACAATACATACTTAAGTAACACAACTTGTTCTAACTAAATTCATGGGACTAGACACAGAATCATTGCAAACAAATCAATTCTAGTTAATATTATGTCATAAGACCTGCGTTTTACAGCACATCAAACGCTGCGGTGCAGCGCAATCAGGTGCAGGTATTTTCTGCTCAACAACGGCTCCCGTTGTCGGTTGGTTCGTGTATGTTAGGAACAGTTAAATTCTCTTTGGAATTTGGGCAATGCCACTGAAGGAATAAACTGGTTACCATTGCAGCATCACGGCCTGGCGGCCTCTCTTTTGCATCTATTTATTTTGCGCGCTTCGTCAGTGCTTCACTTCATTAGACCTGCTATATATTCACCCGCCTTCCAGATTAACACTGACAGTCTTCAAATAAGTCAATAAGTCATTTTGCAGCTGTGGTAGGGCTGTGACGATGCAAAGGGGTCACTGTAGATGGAGGAAATACAAGCCACCAGTTTTAAACACATGTGAGTACGGTGAAAATTATGAATGATCCAGGGAGAATTTCGTCCCTTTGCGTCAAGCCGGCTGATTCAAACTTGCGAACTCCCGACCTCGCAACCGCTTCGCAACGTGCAGATGACGGGCGATGTGACTGAAGCTCACTCGGTACTCGAAGATAAATGAAAGATAAATGTGGCCTAGTGAAAATGACACATTTGTGACTGAAGTTTGTGCGTAGCTGTTTCTGCGAGCAGTAAATTTTTTGCATCAACCTGAGGGTGCTTAAGTTGAAAACTACAGATTACACATACATGTTACACCAACGTGCGAAGATATTTTCAACAAAACAACGACAGAAACAGTTGGTAAACCGACAACCCGACCTACTGGGAAGATCACATGAGCACTGGCACGACGTGGAAGATTTGGAGACATTTGTAGTTCGCGCAACTGATTTGGGTGTAGCATTGGTACAAAAGGCACGGCCTCCCTTACTGCCGATGCCCTTGGAGTTGCTGTTTACGATGCGATGAAAGAAAAACATCGGAATATATTAAGTAGAAAGCATAAAGTGCATACGTTTACACATGACCCAGAAAATCAACTCAACATTGGAATCCTTGTTTCGGTGAGGGATAACCTTGAGAATTACGTTCAAAACTACTACATTCGGAAGAGTTAATGAAACTGGGGGTTCCATGTAATCACATAGGACATGCTCTGGGGTGACAACCGAATGGGAACCTTAAACCTGCCTCATATACCGGTTATAGATAATGGGATAACTTGCCTTTAATAAAAATTATGCGTTGCAATCTGTGAAAATCTTCTATCCTGTTACCTTCCTGACTCATTTTGAGTGCGTGATACAAAACAATAGAATAAAAACATCTTCAGGAGAAAATGGTCACAGTTCTTTGACTTACTGACTCGAACAGTAATAAAAACACTCAATCATAGTAACAGCGGCGGCACAGTGGAGTATCAACAAACTCACAGAACTACTAGAGTGTTTTCTGCACACAATGCACGATGTGCATCTCAAGTACTGAACTTTCTAAAACATGGAAATTAAGGAACATAAGATGTCAACATTCCTTGATGAAATGCAGAGGAACGGGATAGCAAGTTGTGTTGATTGTTGGTTTTGCAACTGTTTCCTCGCAATGCTTCAAATCTGAACTTGGGTACACCCAACCACACCAAAATAAAAAAAACTTGCTCTGACTGGTTAGAAAGGAAAGCCTGTTAAAGGATACATATAAAGCTTGTCGCTATTTTGAGATCATTTAGGTAATTTACAGTCTCTTCTATGCCGCACAAATCATGGTGCAACGCGGGAAGTAGTGTTTACTTGGAATTGAAATTCACCAGTGGCTCAAGGTACAAATCAGCGTTCTATTTCGCGGGATATTACCTCATAACAGAGAGCAATCTATAGAGGAAAATGTTGGTAGCTCAGGTATCGTAGATGGTGGTCGTTGGCTTGTTCGCTGAGCTGGGCAATTTGATTGCAAACGTTTCATCACCAATCGAGGTGACATCATCAGTGCGTTATTGTGGAGCGTAGTAGTGCGTAGCGGTGGGTTGGTGGTTGTGCTGATTGTGGTTGTGGTGATGAAACGTTTGCAATCAAATTGCCCAGCTCAGCGAACAAGCCAACGACCACCAGAGAGCAATCTATGTGGAGGTGAACAATTACCTTTTCATTTTATCGAGGGAATAAAAATGTAGTGGCTAGATAAACTCATAAAGACATCCGATCACAGTTGTCGTATCCATTGTTTTAGTTCAAAGTTAGTAATCTCAACCGCATTTGTTTCCACATTTAAATCGTGCCTTGGTAACTTGGTGTTGGAGTAAGCCGGGTGTGTGAAGAAATTCGAATTCATGCACGGCTTTGGGCCGGCGAAGTTCAAAAATCCAATAGGGCATACTAATTTATACTTAGAGTGTGCAGCCTCGTGATACTTGTCATGGACTCCGTACATTTTTTATGTTGCCGAATTACAGTTGTCGTATCCATTGTTTTAGTTCAAAGTTAGTAATCTCAACCGCATTTGTTTCCACATTTAAATCGTGCCTTGGTAACTTGGTGTTGAAGTAAGCCGGGTGTGTGAAGAAATTCGAATTCATGCACGGCTTTGGGCCGGCGAAGTTCAAAAATCCAATAGGGCATACTAATTTATACTTAGAGTGTGCAGCCTCGTGATACTTGTCATGGACTCCGTACATTTTTTATGTTTGCCGAATTCTCCAGTTGCATCAGTCCTATCTCACCAAGAGATGTAGTCTGACCAGTTTACAGGTCTAACGCAGGTTGCATTATGTGCCAATTACCACAGTACCCATGTTCTCTGGGTATGAAGTGCTACGTAAAAAGTGGGTTAAATATGTATGTAAGTGTAATTCTCAACACACTAATTTCCTATGAATGTGGAGATCGTGCTTCAGTGAAATCCTCTCACGTCCTGGTGACAACCTACTCTATAAGTGGTCTCTGAGTGGAAGTGCAGTCCCAGGACTGTGAGTGCACCAACTTTGAACCCGATGGTAAATTTTTAACAATATGAACATTTTTTGCTATCACTGTCTTTCGTCGTGCGGTCATTTTGCTGTTCAAAATGGTTTAAAGAGAACTCCATTTGACTCCAAAAACCTCAAATGCATGTAGATTTGTGACACTAAGTCTAAGGCCCAAATCGAGCTCAGGAAAACGTTTCGTCACGCACTAGTTTAAGCTTCATATGACAAAAACCATGCAACTAGATACTTTTTTGTTCTTTTTCAACACTATTGTTTTTAATAAATTTACAAGATTTCATTGATGTCTATGGGCAAATTGACGAATAACACCAGCCTAAATGGTGAAATTAATGTTAAACTAATGGTCAAAACTGCGCAGATGTTAATGGTTTGCAAAGCGCTTCACAGAAAATATTGAGAGGTAACACTGAATAATATCTTTAATCATCAAGTGTCTTGGAATAGATAGTCACTTATTGATAAGTTAATGTGCCGCACAGTACAAACTCGGTTTTATTGGTGCATAAATGATGGAATTGCTGTTAAGTCTGAGGGTGGAGTTATGTTTATCTGGAAAATATTTCCACTCAAGGAGCAACGCCAGTCAAGACACAGTGAGGATCAACACTTCTGGTTCGCTACACTCATAACAAGCGCCAGGCTGTTTTCACTAAAGACGAAGCAATATTTCCATCGGTTACTTATGAGAATATGTTAGCAAATAACACGTCACTGGAAATGGTGAGCTGTAATGAGCGAAAATTTGCAATAGCATGATAGACTTACCTGTCGGTGAGCGATTGCGCGGATTTTGCCTGAAGAAATAAATCATTACTGTTTAACAACTGATAAAATAGACCGAACAACACGCTTAAAAATGCTTGGCAGGGAGTCGAAGCTGATTAGATTATGTTTTTCTCGGCAGTTATATGAATAAGTGGATGTTGCGTCAAGTATCGTCAAAATCCCTGAATGAAAACCCTGATAATACCCAAATTGCCACAAACAAAGCTGCGCTTGGACACTTTTCAAGCGGATCGAGACACA